TTAAAATAATCGGTTATTAACTAAATTTGTCATTAGTGTAACAGGATTTGCGATCTAATTACTTAATTTTTAAAAAAATCAAGAGTGCCACTTTTTTTTGCCAGAACTGTATATAAATTTGATTAATTAGCCAAATTATATACTTTTTTGACAAATAATTGATAAGTGATATTATGTTAAATAAATCAATTTTAATTAATGTAATATAATAATAATAAATATTTTTTGTTTAAATAAAATCTTATATTTAATACTTGTTTGTAATAAATAAATAAATAAATATAATTTTTTAAAAATTTTTATTTAAGTAATACTTTATATGATATTTAAATTAATAATTATTATAATTCCAAAAATTGGAATCAAACAAACTTATATAAACCTACATAAAATTTGAAACATTATTAAAATAATGGTAGGTTATAACTTATATATTAAATTTAATATAAACCTGAGAATCAAGAATCAAATTGAATTAAATTATTAAGATTTTTAATAATTATATTATTTTATATTAACATTTTGTTTTTTTAAATACTAAATAAAACTTTTGTTATTTTAATTTAAATATATTGTGTCTTGTTATAAAATAGTAATAATTAATAATAACTGAATTTAATATTATTAATGTTGATATTTAAACTAAATATATTGTTTTATAATAGATGTGAAAATACTTGATTTTTCAGTTAAAACCTAGTCTTATAGTGTTTCTGATAAGTTTATAATCTGGATATTTTTATTTAAGATGATTATATTGCCTATTAAAGTCTCCTTTTTGTTTCTTTGAGTTAACCTTTACATGAAAAAAATTTTTTTTCATTTCTTCTTGCCTGATAAAACTTTGTCTTGTGCTTCTTAATATTTTGTTGTCGACATTATCTTGCTCAAACATATGAAAGAAATTTGAATCATCAACAATAGTGTAATAATGATAATTCAAAATTCTTTGTCATCAATAATCGGGTAATATAAAATAATTATCATTATTAAAAATAACAATCAGTAAAATAATTATTAATATTGTATTGTTACGTTAAATATCATATGGTTTGATACTATTACATTGTATAAAATTCTTTTTATATTGCATAAAAGTTTGATACTTTATATATTTGATCTAGAACGACCGACTCCGCAGATGAAGTTACGACTCTTATAGAAAATACAATTAGATCACATAGTAGATTAGATTGTCACGAGTTCAGAAGCATTCGCTACTGTTGAGTCACTCTGATTAATATTAAAATATATCCATACAAAGTGAGACACGGGCGAAAATAAATAAATTTCAAAAAACAAAACCTTATTAATGATGTTACATGTAAGATTGTTTACCAATTTTTGAAAGTCATATGAAAGAAATAATCGAAAACAACTGCCCGAAAATACATATGATAAAAACTCAACAACAAATATTTATTTTCAGTTTTTTCCTAATATATTAATCAAACTAAATCCATAATATTAGGTACATATAATTCTATTGATTTCACTGTAATCTGGGTATCTTCAAGTGGTAAAGATGTGGGCAAAGTATTTTCTAACCTTGATGTCTATATTTAGTCAGGCTTATTATGGATATCAGAATTTTCCGTAGGGGATGTTGAGGAAAACATTTGTTCATGGATGAAGAATGGAACGAGTTCAGGGATTTAAAAATAATTATTTATTGGAGTAATTTTATTTATTATCAAAATTATAACAATAATATGTTATAAACAATCCATTATAATTAAACAATTTTAATTACTAATTACTGATTACCTTCAATTGTTTCTCATCCAACAATCCTTATCCCGCGACATTCACTTTTTGAAAGTTGACCAGGCGACGAATGGACAAGAAGGAAAGTATCTTCATATTCAGAAAAGGAAAAAAAAATAATTAACTAAAAAGTAAATGATCATGGGGTTTGCATTTTAATACAAAATGCAAACTTGATAGGGTAGTAGAAGTTTCTCAATCGAATCTTTTCCAGATTTGGAAACCGCGTATAAAATGTCGAGATAACAGATCTACATGCACGTGGTAAACCTTCACTTCAATAGGTAGAAATCATGGAGAATTACTTATCATCTTTCAACTTTTGTTGGTTGACCGAACATGCGAGGCTCAAACAAGTTCTTTATTCCACTTTTACTTGTTCCATTAACGCTACTTTGTTGGTATAGAGCATGTAATTTGTATACCGAAGCATACGCTGATCTTTATGGCTATGGAATTGAAAATTCCCTGCTAGATGAACCGATGCTTAGAAATGTCGACACAAAAAAAGGACACGTTCTCGATATACCGGAATTTAGTGATCTCGTAATTGATGATAAACGAGACAATATTTTTCAATTTGTTCAGGTAGAAAGTGCTTTCTAACATTTTTTTGATCGTTGCGTCAAATATGATCTTTCTAAAGTAAAGATATTTCCAGATTACGGATCTACACATATCGCAATTCAAAAAAATTGGTGGTACGTCGCATTTTTTACATTTCCTTGGAACGGCTCTTCCGGTAGTATCCCCCTCGTTCGTTTTAGTGACTGGAGATTTAACTGATGGAAAGGATGCAGACAGTCTCACTTCACAACAATGGGTTGAAGAGTGGACTACATATCAGACTGCATTGAAGGTAAATATCATATCATAAATTATGATCATATCATTGATTTTAATCATGTTTCGTACTTTAATAAATATTAGGAGGCGGGTGTTCTTGATCGTCCATATTTTTGGAATGATCTGCGGGGAAATCATGACGTTTTTAATGTTGAATCTTGGGAAAGCAAATACAATTTATACAGAGAGTATGGAGTTGGAAAGAAGAAGGGATTTCATGTTACTATTGAAAAAACTTTTGGCAGATATAGATTCATTGGAATAGATGCATGGTACTTGATCGATGTGTATTCTTATGAGTCTTCGTTATTTCAGGTTGATTTGTTTAAATATTTATGCTTTTCATATTACAGTCCAAAAGTAGGTCCTGCCAGGCCGTTTAATTTTTTTGGTTATTATGATATAGACAATATGGATCGTTTATCGGATCAATTATCCAATGCATCAAAAGATTCAAATCATACGTTTTTAGTAAGTATCTATTTATACCATCCTTCCTACTTTATTTATTTTATTTTCGATTTCCAACTTCTTAATGATTTTTTATACATTTCATTATAAAAGTTGGCACATTATCCGACGGCAACAACGTTATTTGGCAAAACTTCTAAGGGAGAGACTTTTGATGACATATCAAAACACATAAGTGTTTATATGTGCGGTCATTTGCATAAATTAGCGATGGGTAGATAAACATTTTCTGATTGAAATTTTAGCTTTGTGTGACTCCTTCACTAATGAATTTGCCAAACATAATGCAGGCCTAGGGGAAAAGTTGCAGACATACCAACCTACACACTTTCTTGAACTGGAATTAGGGGACATGAAAGTTAATGCTATATATCGCATCTTAGCTATTGATCATGACTTAATAAGCTTCACCGATGTGACATTGCCGCTGCAAGAAATTCCTTTGCAAACGCCACCATTACCTGCGAAAGGAAAGTCAATATTGCCTGAAAAAATTGATTATCTTCCAACGATATTAATTACGAATCCGAAGGATTCTCGTTTTTTGATGAAATATCATGAACCCGTTAATCGTATAAGGGAGAGCACTCACATAAGATTATTGATATTTTCTGATCACGAAGTAAACACTGTGGAAATATTTTTGGATGGAAAACGGCATGAAGAGAAAGTGATTTATCAAGGTAATTTAAGAAACCAGAGTGAAGATTATATTCCACTCTGGGTTTCCTCATGGGATCCTAAGAGATTTGATGATGGCAAGGAGCACCGAATTACTGTCAGAGCACGAGACATGCTAGGTCATGTTGGTGAAAACAAGATAATGTTTCGCGTGGATGGTAAAAGAAGTGATATGCGTGGTGGAATTAGTGAATTTTTAATTGGGCTGAATTGGGCTTTGGTGGTATGTACAGAAGTTTATTTCTACTTTGTTGTGGATTAGATCCGTCGTGAATGTCTATCTAAAAAAATTTTTTTATCGACATACAAGATTAAATCTTTATACATACTTGGACATGTATCTCTCACGACTTATATTTTATTTACAAAACTTTATATTTTATATTATCCAAATCATCCCTTATTACTCATCTCCTATCATTTTTCTGAAAAAACTTTTCTCAGAACTTATTTTAGAAAAACATTTTTGCTAGCCTCTCAACCAATCTTCTTCTACACCCTATATTTTTATTTATTATATACAATTACATTTCCGTGGTTCAAAGGTAATATGATACCATCAGCGATGTCAGAAGGTAAAGACGGGTATGGGCTATTTTGGTTGTATGGAATACAACTTTTATCAGATTCTAAGTGGTACCCGATATTTGATACGTGGAGGTTTGCGTTCGAAGATCAAATGATTTTTTCAATTAGTTTTGTGATAATATGGTTTATGATCGTGGTAGGCGAAAGAAAAATAAAAACTAGGTGGTTGATAGTTGGGGCCGTGTATTGGTTGTGGAGAGGTGCTGCGCTTATTAGATTGGGAAGAATTTATGGATCAGTGGCAATTTGGACGAATGTGCAAACTCTTTGGTGGGGTTTTTGGGGATGGTATGGCATATGGAGAGGTGGTTTTTAGTAAAATTGTAAGAATTCTTTTTTTATTCATCAAATAATATTACAATGATCCGTGACCAATTCTATCACGTTTATGAAAGTATCCTTTCCAATTGGACATGTTTGAAAAAATTTATTCAGGTTATATAATTTATATTTTATAAAATACAAATATAAACTTTTAAAATCATCATGTACACCATGATAGATGGTATATGATGAAAATCTTGTAAAAATTAACTTTGGTATTCAAATTAAGGCTAAAATAAAAATATATACAGTATATACAGTAAATATTATTTTTTAAAATTTTTAATAAAATTTACAATACAATACAGTACATATATGGATAATTATTTTTGAAAGCAATGAAAATGATATATGTGTTTTTTTCGGCACCTACTTTAAACAATACATATACAATGTAATTTAAGGAGCACAATTATAGTAGTGTCCAAAAATCTCTGTTCATTTTCAAAAATAATTACTCATATTTTATACATTATATATTCTTAATTATATTTATAGTATGTTTTATACCAAATTAATTGCAAAAATTTAAATACAGTATATAAAAAATCAAATATTAATAAAATTAGGAATTACAAAATATCAATTTAAAATTTTATAAATTAAACTAAATTAATTATTGATTGAAAATTTTATTAATTGAATTAAATCAATTGAATTAAAATATAAAGAATATATTGTTTATTATTTAAAAATAAATAAATAAATAAATTGTAATAATTTTATAAATAGAATAAAAAAGCTAATAAATAAAAAATTTTATATTAATTTTTTTCTTATATTTATGTTTTTTAAAAAATATTTTTTTAAGTTTATTTATCTTTATATACAGTATATATAGTATATGTATTTTTTTTTAATTGTATTATTTATCTATTAATTTATTTTATTTTATTTTAAAATTTTCTTATTAAATTTTTTATTTTATCAATTTTTTAATTAATTGAGTAATTAATTTTTTTTCAAAATTCTATACAAAAAAAAAAATTAATTATTTTTTTTTTTATAACTTTATTAGTTTTTTTTTGAAAAATAAATAATTTTATTTTTTAAAAAATTAATATAACTTAATATTTAATTTAAAATTTATTTATTAATTAGTAATAATAATAATTAATTTTAAAAGATTTTTATATTATTATTATTATTTAAATATACAGTATGTAACAAAACTTTTTGGAATTTTATTTACGTGACATAAATGTAAATAACTTTTTCAAAACAAATGCAATTCACATGAAATTTTAAACATGTAAACAACATATCTTAACAAATATATATATACCATTAAATTTCTCAACTTG